AGGAATAGAAGGACCAAGAGGTTTTACAAATCGAACTTAAAAGTAAAGCGTTACTAAGGTAACTTTATCCAAACGCGCTGCGGAATCCATTCACTCATAAGCACAAGAGAGTCCGATATCAAAGCAAAACCAGAAGTCTTTATCATTTAATGAAAGTTACTTAGTGCTACCATCTTTATTAAAAACTCTTACGCTATCTTCAGCTTCCTGCAACATGGCCACTCTTTTCTTGGGTATAACGAGGAAATGTGTCGGAGCTTGCGGAGTGACGTCATGGAAGGCCAGCACCTTAAATAAGAATAACTTTGAAATCTTCAAGTGGATAGATAAAAATTAAGACTGTAACGCGGGCATTACAATGATAACATACTTATATATAGTCAAGATAGGCACTTCGCATACCTCATCATCTTCAAATATTATTTTTGCAGGTATTTCCTTCCTAATGATTTTGCCAAAAATTGTGTCATCTTCGCGAACGGCTTTTTGTGCCTTTTCTACCTCTGTCATGTTCTGGCGGAATGTTATGGAGGTTAGACCAGCTGGAAATGTATCCAACCTAAAACACATCCGGAATACTGAACAAAACCAAATTCTCAAAACAAAAAGCGAAGTGTATAAAAACGAAAGTCTAGCTGGTTTTGTAAATTCATGAAAGCAGTCGGTTTAGTGAGATGGACAGCTCGCTAAAAAACTAATTTCATGAGCTTCAACTTCCAAGACCATATTAAAGTTCTAACCATCTTTCCTTTAAACGGTAGTGTGAATGTAAAATATTTGTGATTCGGTTTAAGAGCTAAAAGCAAAAATCCCTCTAGACTCTTCAAAGAAAATTGTTTCAGGTTTGGAACTTCAGTTATTTTTGTTTTATTATGATTTCTGCAGTAGCTGGAATTAGATAATCTCTTTTTTGCAAACCATAATCAAAACGTGAGTCGAGGGCATACAGGACCCTCTAACCAGTGTATTTTCAGCTGGGAGCCACGTCACACGATAACCCAGATACTGTAAGGAAAATCTACG